CTAGACTTTGTTTCCTGGCCCATGGATAGCCATGGAAGGTTGCTGACTGCATGGTCATAGTTGGAGGAGAAGAGGCCATTGGGGTCTGCAGGTCAGTGAGAGGACAGGAATTGGGTGAGAGGTGGAGAGTGCAAGAGGGGAGACATGTATGGCCTGCACACTCCCAGGTGTGCCCTCATGCATATACCATTTGGGCACACCACAAGCACACTGCATGAAAGCACACACTGTCTTGGTCTGCTCAGGCTGTTGTAACAAAACTTGGCCTGGGTGGCTTACAACAGACATTCACTGCTGCAAGTTCTGGAGGTTGGAAGTTCATGATCAGGCTCGTGGCCGAGTTGGTGAAGAGGTGAGGCTCGTAGTGAATTCGGTGTGCCATCACATGGGGGGAAAGGACAGGTGTCTCTGAGGTCCCCCTCATAAGGACACAGTGTATCTCTGTGACCTAATCACCTCCCCAAAGCCCTGCCTCCTCACCTGCACTTTGAGGTTAGGATTCTGTGTGAATTTTGGGGAACAAACTTCCAGTCTGTGACACATATATGGTAGTGCCTCTCCCAAGAGTGCAGGGGCAGTGGAGTCTGTAATAGATGGGAGGCATACAGGAGCCTAGGTGACCTCATCAACACACAGAGGTGGTGGTCTTTGTGTTCCCTTGGATGCGGCAAAAGTGGATGTTTGAAATAGGATAGGACTGGTTGCAAGAGATTTGAGTGAACAGCTGTTTGGTTGAGGGATGTGGCCCCAAGAGAGCTCCTGGGATGGCAGGTGCAGGTCCCACCTTCCAGCACAGGCGCCTCAGCATTGGTGGTGGCTTTGGCAAGTCAGCCTCCGGCTGTCTTCCAGGTGATGACTGCCTGCCAAGGTGCATTCTCTCTGAAAAAGAGCCTGGTGGTAGAATCTGCAGCCCGCCAGAGAAATAAATCCATTGTCAGATTAGGGGTCACCTTCCTGGATGAGAATCCTTAGGGGAAGGCTTAGGGCTCCTCTTCCTCAGTTTCTCATATTGACACTAGCTGTTCTAACTCAGGGTTGTCTGTAATGCTTCAGTTTTTAAAGTACAAACTGAGGGACAGAGGACCTTGTGGTTATTATGGCAGTATGTGGACAGGCCTGGTATGCTGGGTTCTGGTTCTGGGTTCTGGTGTCAACCCTGCTCTTCACCAACGTGATGGTGACTCCTGGAGACAATGCCATTGGTGTGCATCTGTGCAGGTGACTATGTCCTGGCAGATCCCATTCCACAGTGCTCAGCCCTGGGGATGGTCCAGCTTTTGGAGCTGGCCCTCCTCCAAGGAGACAGAGGGCCTGTGGCCCACAGCCTGTGGGTGCTGCAGGCTATCCTGTTTTCCTCCCAAGAGACCTTATCCCAGCTCATCGGGAGTGGGAGCTGCAGGAGACCTGCTTCATAATCTGCATGCGAGCTGCTGACTCACTGTTTCCCTCCCACCCTGGTGCCTCTGTGCTCCTCCCCCCTCCCCCACCTCCCTCCTCCTTCCGGGGCCACAGCAGCAGGAGTGGCTACTTGGGCAGGAGTCTCAATGTCTCTGTCTGTCTGTCTCTTTCTGTCTCTGTCTCTGTCTCTGTCTCTGTCTCTGTCTCTGTCTCTGTCTCTCATTCTTTCTCAACCAGTACCCACCTTGACAGGACACTTTATTTTTACATACTGTCGGCTGGAAATAAGCAACTTTATTTTAAAGAGAATGTGGATTCAGAGTGCTAAAAAAAGCACCCAGCAACTTGCTAGGGCTGTTTTAGGAGTGATTCTCCTGCCTACTTTGGAAGGAAGCTGTAGGGCCCATGTAAGGGGAGCCAAGGACGCAGTGGGAAGAGAGGCCCGTGGGGGGGGGGGGTTTTATGTGATCAGAGCTCCCACCAGGGCAGAGAGCTTTGGGGACAGTGCCTGACGTCAGGTTGGTCTGGAGGACACTGTGTGGTCTGGGCAGTGTGCTTAGCCCTGGAGGAGCGCAGCCCTGTGGCATCACCAGTGACATGGACTGTGCTAAACTCATCCCAAAGCCCCTCATCCAGGAACTCACTTCTGTCTTAAAAGAGCTGTCTCGGTTCCACATTTGAGGAGTCTTTGCATCAATTCCCTGATCTCTGTACAGGGCTGGGGCCGTGCTGGTCTTTAGTTGGTGTGTGTGGGGGTATTCATGCTTTCATAATTTAATTATTCCCACCTGGCGACAGGTGCAGGCTGTTAGGGGAAGGGCCTCCCACCTCATGCTCTCAGGGGTGGCAGTTGCTGCTGCCTGTTCTCCTGGAGACATTTGCTGCATGTTCAGGTACGGTCGCCACATCAGTCATGAGCTTAATGCTGCCATTGTGTGGGTGAGTCCCATGACACCTGGTGGTTAGGTGTGTCTTCCACCTGTGTGCCAGCCCTTCACAGCTGGCTTTCAGTGCTCACGCTGTCCCTTGGGAGCCACTGGAAGCATCACTGTCTCCTATCAACACTTAACATAAAATTACTTTCTTCTTCATTGTTGAAATGTCCACGTGTTGTAGGGAACTTGGCTATACCCACAGGTACAAAGGAGAGGATCAGATTTCTTGTTATCCTGCTGCCAGAAGGAACTGCAGAGATTTAGCCTGCTTCCTTAAGAGACTTGTTTATATGTATGGAATAGCTTTGACACACGTGCAAGTTCTATACCCTGTAGTTAAGTTTTATGGAATGTCTAAAGCTTTCTTCACATCTCTACGTAGTCTTTGAAAATACTTTTAGCAGTTGCATACTGGTGTTCTTTCCTTTACTGCTTTCACCCTGCCCTGCTTTCTCATGTCATCAAGGCATGTGTCCTTAGTGGCTCTTGGTCCCCATGTATTACCTCCATGCTTCACAGTGACAACCTTGTGGACAGTTTCTGGCTGGCCTCCATTCTGATTGGCCAGTGACTGGTCCTGTCAATGTTCAGTACTGAATTTTGAATCTCATCTCTGACTGGAGCTTAATTTCCTTACCCACTGAATTTGACTGTGCTGCCACAACAAAGTACCACAGAATGGTGGCTTAAACAAGTGTCGCTTGTGTCATGGTTCTGAAGTGAGGATCTAAGACAGGCAGCTCTCCCACCTTATCAAAGTTTAGGGAGGGGTGCTTTTTGCCTCTTCTAGCTTTCGGTAGCCAGCAGTCCTTGGTGTCCCTTGGCTGACAGCACTATCACTCAAGTCCCAGCCTTGGTTTTCACATAGCCCTTTTTATATCATCTACCCTGGGAATATCCCCCTAGAACATGTGTCCAGAGTTCCCCTTTGTCTAGGCCACTAGCCATAGGGGTTAGGACATACCCTAACGACCTCATTGTGACTGGATCACCTCTGTAAAGACCTGATTTTCAAGTAAGGTCATATTAAGACACTAATGTCCCAAAGGTTAAGACACCAACATATTTGGAAGAATTCAGTTCAGCCCTTAATAGCCACCAGTTACCCAGCCCAGAGAGCTTGGACCATGCCGGAGGCCCAGGCAGTTACAGTAGATACATACATTCTTTTTGTCTCTAAACTTTCCCACACTTGCACATAGACAGATGAAGCTTTGTGCTCTTCCAAGAGAGTGGAGTGCACATTTGTAGCACTCCTTCCCTGCCAGGACCTGTCTCCTGTCTCTGGGCAGGCTGGAGAAAGTGACTGGATGGAGCCCATTGCAGAGTGTTCCATATTTGTGGCTGCCTTCTCCATGATGAGGCTTTTGTCTGTGATTTAGATCCTTAGCTCACTTAGCAGCTTTGAGTCTAAACTCACTTTCAAGAAGCATTTATATGGTTAAGTTTTTATGTTAACTATTGTACGTTCTTTTCAGCACCATTATTGTGGCTAGACTTGTCTGTGTGTGTTGTATCTGTGATGGTCATATCCAGTAGGATTTGGCTGTCCAGGCTCTTTCCTCTGATTGATATGTTCATAATATAATACTGTTATGTTTACTATTGATGCTACGATTTTAGTGCAGGCTCTTTGGCTTTGAATTACTTTCTCGGAGAAAATAGAACTTTAGCATTAGATTAGGATTGAAGTTAAGCAGCTGCAGGATGAAGGTTTTTTTTTTTTTTTTTTTTTCTTTTTAAATAAAGATTGCTTGGTACTTGAAAACCTAAGGAGGATAATTGATGCAAGTTTAAGGCCAGCCTGGGCGACAGAGTGAATTCAAGGTCAGTCTGAAATATAGTGAGACCCTGTCTCAAAACAAAAACCAAAAAAAAAAAAAAAAAAAAAAAGAGAGAGAGAGAGAGATTGGCCCTGCCACACATTTTATAGGAAACTGAATGTCTGTGAGCTAAGGGCTTTGTTAGCTTGGGCATCTGGCTAATTTACAGGTCTGGAGCTGAGCACTATGGCACCTGGCAGGACTAGGCTCTTCTTTGTTTTTTTTTTTTTTTTTTTTTTGATTTTTTGAGACAGGATCTTGCTCTGTAATTCAGGCTGACCTTGAGCTCAATGTGTAGCCCATGTTGGCCTCAAAACTCATGAATCCTCCTGCCTCTGCCTTTAGAGTGCTGGGCTTATGGGTGTGCGCTATCATACCCAGCTGTGCTGGTCTTTGACAGTGGTCACAGATGCTTTTTGTAAACCTGAGAGTTACGGCACATGGGTTTTCTTTTTCTTTTTTGTCTTTTTGAGACAAGTTCTCACGGTGTAGTTCAGACTGGTCTTGAGCTCACTTTGTAGACCAGACTGGCCTCAAACTTGCAATGATCCTCCTGCCTCAACCTCTTGAGTACTGGGATTACAGGCATGTGCTACCACGCCCAGCCTTGGGTTTTCTCTCTGTAGCTTTTTTCTTTTCCTGAGATGTCTTGGAGACCATGAGGGAGGGTCAGAAAGGAAGTCACACCAGATGAGGGTTTTTCAGATGCACAAGCAAGTGATCTGAAGATGCATCTTGGGTTGCTCACTCCTTAGGGTGTAGGGCTCTGGGTGTGTGCTGGACTACCGTGGGTCCTCTTCCTGCATCTGCCTGACCGAGTCGTACCTTTCTTGTTCTTTCTCAGGGCTCAGGAGCAGTTCCAGAGAAATCCTGACAGTTACAATGGTGCTGTCCGAGAGAACTACACCTGGTCACAGGACTATACTGACCTGGAGGTCAGGGTGCCGGTGCCCAAGCATGTGGTGAAGGGGAAACAGGTAAAAGCCACCACCAGGGTGGAAGTACCAGTGGAGTTTCACTCAGCCTGCACTGTCTAAGGACCCAGTGCTACTGGAGAACGGTTGGGATCAACCTAGGATATAGGGCTTGCTCCTGTTCCTGCCTCAGTTGAGGTCACTTGCACTCTCCCTGCCACTAGATGTGTGAGCTTCTTTTGCTCCTTCCTATGAGCAGCATGAGCCCCATGAGAGAGGCCCACATATTTGATATTCTCGTCTCCCACTAAGAAAGTCATAGATGCTCTCAGGGTCCTGGTATAGACGGCCAGCTTCTTGGTTTTCAGGGGAAAATTCTAACACTGCCTTAATGGAGTCTACATTTTCCTAAAGAAGGAGTCTGTCTGGAGGCTCCCAGGAAGAACTGGATTAGCCAGGCCTACAGGGAGGCCTTCAAATGGCTGCTGTCCCTTGAGTTTCCTGGTGTTGCCAGCCAGGACCTAGTAAACTCAAGTTATCCAAGGTGGCAGATCAGTGGCACCTCCCTGTGTATAGCAAACTGTGTGCCACGGAGATAAAGGCTTTGTGACCCCCTGGAGGTGGGAGAGGAGAGTGTGGGTGCTGCAGACACCGTGGGCCCCAGGCTACCCCCCAGGACCCCCATGTGTTCCCATACTGTCTGTCCCCTCTTTCCTGCTCTGTGTTTTGCTGGATTCACATAGGTGATGTGTGCTGAATGCACACTTCTCTGTCCTGGAGTCTCTGTTCTGCAGTTGGCTCAGGGTCCTTCAGGAGGATTCTTTCCCTGGCATAGCTATGCCTGGAGACGCTCAGTTCTCTTCCTCACGGGGTGTGTGGAAGGTTCGTCCTGCTTCTTCAGCACTGTTTTCTTCCCTTATGATGGACACAGACTTGCTGCTTTCTCTTCAGCCGGGAGTACCCAGGGGCCCTGACTTAAAGCAGATGAGCTCATGTATGAGACTCCCTGCAATGCTGCCCAATCCTGAGGCCCAAGGAGAAACTCAAAGCCACAGGACCAAGTGCTGCTCCAGTCTGTTCCCTGTGGCTCTTCCATGAGGCAGGAACTGTCTTCTGATTCTTGTGTAGTAGCTACAACGAGTAGGTTCACTTTTGAGGAGGAGAGCTGTTTCCTCAGGTGGTCTTGGTAGCTGTGGTGGTATTGGCAGTTGTTACAAATAGGTAGTCTTCACCAGAGCCTGCAACCTGCAAACTAATGTTGTTATTTCATAGATGAGGAATGGATGCTACAAGAAGATGTTACAATATCCAGGGTCGATCCCTCATGTTGGCCTGAACAGGGTGCTAGACACATGTCTGAGGGGTTAGAGTGTGGTGGCCGCAGGTGTACCTCTGAGCTCATGCTTGTCTCTTAGAGCCATCCTTAAGACCACTGTGTGCATTTCAGACACAGGGTACCCAGACCCCACATGGTGATGGTCAGATAGTAGTTGGGGTCTGCTCTGGGCTGGGCCAGGTAGGTGTTTAGGCCAGGCTGGCTGTGATGTGCTCTCGGCTCTCCTTGCCTATGTGTGGCATCTGGGTAGGGACTGTAGCAAGTGGTCAGGGTTGCATGAGTGCAGCTCCTCCCAGGGGGAGGCAGGACATGTTCATTAGCTGGTAGTGGAGTAAAGATGGGACCCTCAGGCTTTAAAGTACCACACCCATTGATCAGTGAGTTGGGAGTAGCCTGACTTTGGCAGGAAAAGGCCATTTGTAGCATTCTTTCTTCTACCCACCCTGAACCAGAGTTTAGCATACTTCTGGGATCCAAGTCAGACAAAGTGTGGGGATAGCTGCTCTTTTGTCTGTCAGGGGAAGATCAGGAGCAGGTACTGGCTGCCCCTCTTTTTATTTTTGGGTGGTCCTGGGGATTGAACTCAGGACCTTGCACTTGCCAGGCAGGCACTTATTCTATTGAGTTATCTTCCCAGCCCTGGCTGCCCCTCTTGAGTTGTTTACTTAACCCTTAGGATGTTAGTGGGTCAGGTGTTGAGTTCCTTGCCATTTTCTGGTATGGTTGCCAATCAGTTATGAATTATGAAAAGTGTTGGTTACTATGCTCACTTAGTAAAAAAAAAAAAAATTAGTTTCGCAGACCTTTATCTGACTTCCATCATGCTTGCTCTAAAGCGTGGCTGGGGCTTTCTCTTAAAGGGCTTATTGTAGGCCTAGCCTAAAACTGGTTATTTTTTGTGTATCTGACCCTGTAGACCCCGGGTGGCTAACCACCTCTGCCATTCCTTCCACAGTCAGCAGGACAGCTGCACTGGACTGGTGTTGCGTCTCAAATGTGCTGCCCACTAACTGGAGGTGGAACCATAGCTCTCCCTTCTGTGGGCAGCACGTTGGGTGAAGGCCTGCCCTGTGGCTCTTACAAGCTCTCCTTTTGCAAGATCAACTTCATACCTATCATGTGTCTCTAACTCTGGGACGATGTGGTCTTGCTTTCACCAAGTGCACCCCTAAGTCTGACTCATTCTGCAGTATTTTTCGAGCACATGGCCCAGGCCATGACTTGCCCTGGTCACCAAGTCAGACCAGGTTGCTGGTTCAGAATCTACAAGGGGTCATCAGAATAGATGGTGAATGTTTATATTTTAAACATTTATCACAATAAAAGATGTATTGTCATTAGTCCTCTCAGAAAACTTCCTCTCACTTCACTTATTCATCGTTTTCCCAATTTCTGAAGCAGTTTGGAAATCCTCCTCCCAGAGTGTCTTTACAAGGTCAGATGAGAATATGGTGACTAGAAGGCTCCTAAAACCATTACACTGTGTCCTTAGCACCTTACTCCCTGAGTCTGGCAAAGTGTGGCTTCTGGCTTATCCTCAAAGTCAGAGTGACCACGAAAGGTAAATGTGGTCCTGCTTCAGAAAGTGGCAAGAAAGATGGGATAAGTGTGTTCAAACTGAGGGAGAATAGATTGAAAGGCATTAATAACAGTGTATCTTTTACTGTAAGAAATATTAAAAATTTAAACATTCACTGTATTTTTAGAACATACCTGGTGTATCCTTTTATTACACATGCAAAAGAGTTGGCAGATAATGAACTAGTTGATGGTGGGTAGGGGCATATTATGGTTTGTGTCTAGTTGTCCCCCCAAAGCCTCATGTAGTTATGGGGCAGCTTCTGGAGTTTGTGATTGATTATTGTGGGTGTGAATGCTGCACTTGCCCTGGGGCAGGTAACTTGCTTTACAGTGTAAGGAGGAGGGGAGAGAAGCTAGCTAGCTGTCTGAGCTGCTGCCACTCCCTTTGCTTTCTGCTCTTCGTTCTCTGCCTTGTGCTGCTTTGCCTCAGAGCTAGCTGAGTATGGACTGAAACATCCAGTAACTATGAGATAAATAAACTTTTTGTTCCTTCATTTTGGGTGTTGGGTGTTTATCCCAGCAACGAGAGAAGAGTAACAGACAGGGCAGTAGCGAACATAACATGGTTGGTGTGTGTCTGGTCTGAGGAGGTGCCCATCTCAAGTGACCCTCTCCTCCTGTCCTCTGGCCCACAGCAGGGCCTGCACACTTGAGACTGGCAGTCAGCATGTCCAGGTTGCAGGCAACCGGAGCTGGGCCAGGAGCTAGCATCCCTTGCACCCTGAGAAGGCCAAGAGCACTTCACTGTGATGCCACAGTGCCAGGGACTTCCTATGGCCGTTGTTGGCTTAGTTAGTCTGGGCATTTTTGTGGTACTCACTGACATAATGTACCCTGGTGACCTGCTTGTGAGAACCTCATCTCCTCTGTGGTAGGGAGTTCTCTTTTTCTTTCAGTAGCATTTTCCCCCACATCATTCATAGTATCATAAACTTCCTTTAGAAAAGTCTCCGTCTCTCATTTAGTTATCTCAGCATTTCAGTCGTACCTTTAATTCAAACTTGGGAGCAAGTTTGCTCTGTGTCTCTTGGGTTCCACTGCTCCAAGGCTTTTCCTCAGAGTTACTCCTTTTTCTGGACTGGCTCCTTTCCCACTGTTCCCCAGGTGTACCTGTCACAGCTGCCTGTCAGCTGTGTTTATTTTGGGTTTTTGTCTCTAGCGCCTATCAGATATAATCACAGTATGTCCATGACTGACTGGTGCTCAATGATGGAGTTGGCCCTGGCTCTGCTTGGTGGAGGCTGGAGTGTCATCACAGATTGTCCTCTGCTCTCCAGCTGTGGCTGAATTCTGTGGGGTCCCCGTCGGAGCCTGGCCTCTCCTGAAAACCTCACCAGTCCCTTTTAGTTGATGAGGGTATGAGTTGGCAGGGACACGGGCATGTGTGTATGTGCATTGTGCTCTGTCATATTTCATATGCATCATTTAAAAAAATCACTTCACTGGTGAATCTAAGGAGGAGCCAGTGTGAAGTTTTTAGTCTTAGCCCACTCGGCTGTTGAGGAAAAGCAGCTCACCGCCCTTCCTTTCCTCACTGTACCCTTGGAGGAGGACAGGAATGCTGAGTTCATGTAATGGTTGTCTGTGTGATTGTTCATCTCCGATCTTACAGTTTAGATGTTTTGAAAATTAAGCTGCCAGGATTTGTGTTAAATTTCTCATTTGCAGATGAGAAGACATCTCCGGGGAGAGGGCGAGGAATGGAGACCAGAACCCAGGCCCCCAGTGCTGTTGTGTTGATGTCTTGTCAGTGAAGAATGCTGTGGTGGTATTCTGGTTGTTGCTGAATGACAGTGAATTGTTTGTTCTGGCATCTCTCCTCATCTCTCCAAGGTGGTGGGTACCCATGCTCTGTTGTGAGTGCTTGTGCCAGCTCTGGCCTCCCCCTGGAACTTGTGAAGAGTACTGTGGCCCTGGGGGGGCTTGCATGGCTCTTACCCAGCTCTGGGCTTAGACTTGGGTGACACTTGCCTCTAAGCTCAATGCAAGTGCTGGGGTTAGTGCTGAAAGCTCCATGGCATATGGCATTCCCTTCTTAGAATGCATCTGGAGGAAATGTGGGAAGAAGTTATTACAGGAAACTTCCACAGCAGAAAAGACCAGTAGGCTGCGTTTGTCCACTGAGCTTTAACTCATCTAATTTTTG